TAGAATATGGCTTTCTTTTACACACATCCTTGACTTGAGGAGCCATCACCCTCATTGCCAACCTCTACAAATCACAAATATTCTCACAACAAGGACACAGCAGCAGAGAGCAGTTTCCCATTTGAAAAAGACAGCCAGTATCTCTGAGGAGATAAACCAGCCTAGGCGGCAGGGACATGAAGTCCCTGAAGCACTGGCTGGCTGGCTATACAACTTATCTAGTCTGATACATGTGCATGTGGAGTTTGGGGGAGAGAAGGCTTTCTGGCTTCATTTACAACTTCAGAAGGGTTGGGTCTCCAATGATAGGGCATTTAACCGGAAGAGAAAAATGACAAAACAGCAGACACTCTGTCCATTAGGGAAAAAATCCAAAGAGCAAAACATGTTTTTTGCAGGATGACCTACATTTACAGCGTGGGTCTGCATATAATGTCAACATGATCTGAAAGGAAGAGGGGGTAGGAGTATAAATGACTGCTGTAAACTGATGCCTAGGAAATCAAGTGTTTGGGTGGGGGAGGAAATAGTGATTGGCTGATGTAGTACCAGCAAATGATTCCTTAAACCTGAAGGGTTAGACTTTCTGAGACATTGACAATATGCAGGGGAAAAAATGTGCACATTAATGTTCAGCTAAGATAGATGGGACGCGGGTGGCGCTGTGGGTAAAAGCCTCAGCGCCTAGGGCTTGCCGATCGAAAGGTCGGCGGTTCGAATCCCCGCGGCGGGGTGCGCTCCCGTCGTTCGGTCCCAGCGCCTGCCAACCTAGCAGTTCGAAAGCACCCCCGGGTGCAAGTAGATAAATAGGGACCGCTTACAAGCGGGAAGGTAAACGGCGTTTCCGTGTGCGGCTCTGGCTCGCCAGAGCAGCGATGTCACGCTGGCCACGTGACCCGGAAGTGTCTCCGGACAGCGCTGGCCCACGGCCTATAGAGTGAGATGGGCGCACAACCCTAGAGTCTGGCAAGACTAGCCCGTACGGGCAGGGGTACCTTTACCTTTACCTTTAAGATAGAAGCAAAAGCTGGTCCACCAACTTTCACTTGTTAACATACCTCAAAACTGTTTACAGCCCTAACCTAAATGGATTTACCTGTGGAAAAAAAATCCCAAAGATATTGCAATTATTGCAGGGCTGCAATAAACTGGAAAAGGTGCCCTCAGCGTTCTGACTGCAATAGAAGGTGAGGTACACGTTTTCTAATAAATAAACAAAACCTTAAATGCTACCTTGTCCAATGCTTCAAATATAGGTCAGGACCATTTACAGGTCATGTCAATGCCCCTGCAACCTGTGACACAATTTTTTAACCTAATAAAGAATAAGAACGAGCAAAAGAGTATAAGAGCATCAGGTAACTGAAATGAGCAAGTAATGGGATTTAAATTCATTTAATTGTCCTTAAAACACACATGCAGAAGCTGTGAGCCACCAAGCTGAACACAGCTCACCAGTTATGCATTGAGGGGGGTCATTAATCTCCTGTTTCTACTGCTAGGATTTCAAAAGTGGGGAAGGAGATACTGAGCATATGGCAGGCCACAATACACACCTAGTGAGCTGCATCCAGCTTGTTGGGTCACAAGCTGTGCAGGCAGAGCTTAGAGTCACAGCCTAAAACACCATCAGCTATGGAAGACCTACTAAAGCATGCACATGAACCTGCATACATGCACGTAGGTCCACAAACTAAGCTTCCAGACTTACAGTAATGCCCTAAAACCGAAGGAGAGGTGAAGCCCACATACTATTTTGATATTATAATGTAAGCAAACCCTTAGATTTAATGGGAATGAGTCCAATTGTTTCCTGAGGTTATTTTAGCTCAATTGCTTTTTTGCAGGTAAGATGTAAAAAAGCAAACTAGAAAACTAAGAATGATGCATAGAGATGAGGTATGGTATAGTGGCAGAAAAGGAGCGAAATTGGCAGGCATATACAAAGAACAAATTACAGGTTGCATTAATTACAAGGGTTGCCCGGAAGTGCAAGTTTTTTCTTTCACAAGCATGGTGGAGCCATCAATCAACCTAGGATAATGGTTCCCAATTACCTGAGGACCCCGTTTTTCAAAACTCAAGCCATGGGCACCCTACTTTTGACAATGTTGTTATCTCTATGGTAGCAATGGACCCCTTGTTGGGTTATGTGGAGCACTGGCCTAGGACCATCTGGAGAGGCCTTAACCCACAGTGGTGGGCAAAGGGTAAAAGTAATTTATCTTCCCACATCAGGGCCCCAATCTGCTTGCATCTCCAATGGCTATTTGTGAAAGAAAAACCCTGCATTTAAGGCAAACTACATGACTAATGCAATGTATAATTTAGCCCTAACTGCTAAGAAACAGAAACTAAAACCTGAAAGCAGTGATGCTCCCCTTGGGGGAATATCAGTTCCAATAATAGGCAAGGGTGTGACTAACCAAGTCAGGATGCTACTGTGGAGCCCAAAGTAAAAGTCCCATGGTTGAGACACTAATTCACATATTTCCCTTCCCCTCAGACACACATGATAAGATTAGGAACTGAAGGGATTCCAAGCCACATGACAGACTAGAATCCTCCTGAGTCTAAAAGTCATCAGCTCAAGAAGAGCCAATCTCACACCTATCTACAATGATTCTGGTAAAATATACTGTAGTTCATGAAATCTTTTGTTGTTGTTTAGTCGTGTCCGACTCTTCGTAACCCCATGGACCAGAGCACGGCAGGCACTCCTGTCCTCCAATGCCTCCCGCAGTTTGGTCAAACTCATGTTGATAGCTTCGAGAACACTGTCCAACCATCTCGTACTGTTACAGTAAATCTGTTGTCTTTAAGGGGCCATAATAACACCCTTTATTGTTTTATATCTCTGTCTGTCCACTTTGTGTTAAAGGCACAAGAGCACAATCAGTAAAACAAAAAAAAGGTGGCCACTGGCAAGGCAATAGCACCAAAGACGCCACCAGATATTAAATATTCTTTAGTATTGACTCCTGTGAGTTAATTTTATAACCATTGATCTTATTACCATGCGTCAGCAGAGTCACAGATTCCCTTGGTTTTTGCCTACAGAAGCCAGATGCAAGGTAGAATGCGGGCTTTTTGCATATAAGACATGTACTGCATTCATTTCTGTAGAAAAGAAGGAAACAGCACAGAGGGTATTTGAATGGGAATTTGTTTTTGTTCTTTGAATAACAAGTACGTCTATGGAAGAAGTGTGACTATGGTGTGGAAGGATAGCTATGGGAAATAGTTCTCCCTAAGAAAGTAATCCTACACACAATAAGCTGGTGTAAAGTTAAGGCAGGATAAATTATGTGTTAATTACTGTTTGATTACATCACCCTTGTGTCAGCTTAATTTATGCTGGGTAGCCAGGTCATGTAACTGAGCTGAACAGGTTTATGTTCCAGTCTAAGTGCCCCCTTACCCCCTAGTCCTACCCCAGAATGCCTCATTTTTTTAAGGCTTATGCTGGCTTAAGATCCACTGGGCCTGGCTCGGCTGAGCTGGGCTCTGGCTGAGCTGGGATGGGAGATATACCGGTGTACCTTTGGCTGAGCCAAGGATGGGGAGCAATGTCAGCATAGCCCAGCTGTCCTGGGAACCTCCTGCTTCAACTAGAGATCCCCTGGATCCTAAATCTGCTCATTCCAGTAGATCTTGATATGATTGCTGCCTTAATCAAGAAAATAGGTGCAATAAACTAGGACATTTAGCTGGGTAGCTAAATATGGATAAATAGAGAGGAATCAAATTTACAGAAGTTTTCCTACCAAACTGCCCCGAGGTCATTCTTGCTAATCACAACTGAGCAAGCAAATTGATATTTACAAGTCTCCCTCCACCTATGGTACATTTTACTGTATGTATATCATTTTCAAAAACTTTCCCATCCCAATTTACATCAACTGCAAACAACTTTATTATTTCACAATCTAGTGAAGCATTTCTTCATTCTCATCTTCAGTTTTTTTGGGGGTGGGGCCAGGATCATGCTACTGCCTCACAACCAACACAATCCAGAATAAGGTAGGGAGGTGTGTGTGTGTGTGTGTGTGTGTGTGTGTGGTGTGTGTAAATGAATGGAGTGTCCTATCAATGCCCTTTTATGTGCACGTATCTCAAAAACTTTAAAAAAAAAAGGTCTCTGAAATATCTGTCACAAGATTAGTAAATCTTACAGCTCAGAATCTGGCTGAATCTACAAAGACTGTTGATAGTTTAATGTTGCTATTCATAAACTCCACAGTAGAAGATGTGACTAAGTCAGTGGTGATAGAGCAAAGACCAGTCTGACCTCAGACATATTGTGTCGTTTTAAAATGCATGAGACAAGGAAATCAACAAGATTAGGGGAACTGAAATTCTCCAGAGTCATTTCCCATGAGTCTTGCTCAGCAATTCCTGGCACACAAAAACAACAACAACAAAACTGAAGAACAGATAATCTGAAAAGCTGGACAAATCAGAAGCACAGATACCCTCAGAAAGAAACTATGGCCTGGGGGGAGGAAATTACTTTGCATGTTCCCCATTTTAGAAAATAGGAAGCCAAGAGCTGTTCCCAGCAAGAGGGATGAGGAAATTTTGGTCGTGAACTATTCTGTCTGCAATACAGCCAAGCCCTTGACATAAAAGAAGGGGCCACATCAAGGTTATGTATTTTGGAGAGGTGAATCAAAAAAATCCACTCATGTCTGAAAACACCATCTGCTAGAAAACAGTTGATTCAAAACGCATGCATGAATTGTCAGACCGACAGGAGATCCCCCTCCACCTTCAGTCCCACCTTGCATAACCCAAATCACAGAAGACAGCCTTTTATATCTGCAGCACAGCCAAGATTTGAGCAGTCCTTTCTGGAACTCCTAAGCTGTAAACTCTATTTAAGCTTTGTGCACCTCCATCAAGTCCCCAAGGTGGTATTAGGTAGCATTCTCCATTAACAAGGTTGCCTCTACCATTCAGATGTCCCTCTCCCACCCAATATGCCAAAGACAACCTACCTTCAGCCGCATCTGTGCGGGGATTGGTAGTCTTGTCAGTGGCCGGCTCAGCTGCTTCAGTGGCCAGTGAACTGGTTGCTCTAGAGAAGTCACTGGCACCCTCGCTCCGGGTTGTTTCAGGGACACTTTCTCTGGAGCTGAAGCGGACGCGGGAGCTGGAGCGGGAGCTGAGGTCTGGGCTGGTATCTGACAGGCCTGGGATATCATCTATTTTAGTGGGAGTGACCATGAACCGGACAGAAGCCATCTTGACAGCAGGAATGGAAGGGGGGAAATAATTACTTGCTTGGTGACTTTAATCAAGAGTTGCCTGGAGTGCTAAGCAGGAAGAGGAAGAAGACCACTCAAAAGAGCATACACCAACAGGGTTACCAAGTGCTCTCTCAAGAGAAAGATTCATGTCTCGCATTTATTCACAAACGGTCAGACACAACTTTGCATCTAGATATCAATGATTATCAGATGTATTTTCCACAAGCAGAGCTGAAGACTTAGTGAAGATGCTACCTAAGATTTTGTCAAGACAACAATTTTCATGAGTGATTAGTCTGAAGATTCCCATTTATCAAGCAAGTAAGGCAGTTTCCTGTTCAGAGGGAGCCTATGGATCTAAAGGAAAGGTGACTGTAATCTTTGTCTACCAAAGGGTTGCACTGCAAACTCCTGGCATTAATGTGGGTTGTAACAGACCGTCTCACAGATCCCGGTTAAGTTTTGTTTATGAGGCAAATATCTTTTGGCACAGCAAAATGCATAGAGGTAATTTCTTCCCGCCTGGGAAAATCTCAGTGCAAAGATCTGCAAAGCACACAAAAAGGCTAGAGGGTTCCTTGTGAAAGTTCAATAATAATCCACTTGTTTTCCAGAGTGACATGCAAGGAAAGAGGGTTTTCTTCATTGCTAATATCCCTTAGAATTCCGGCTTGGAAACAATTATTCAAGAACCTTCATATCTCAGTCCAAGGAGAAGAAATGTCCCAGTGCAAGAACTTTGAAAACAAAAACAAACAGAAAGTGCTGTTATGATGTTGTCCCTTGTAAAAACAACACACAATTACTTCACAGGCTTCTGGTGGCTTTTCAAAGGTCCTGGTATGAGAAGATAACCCCTGGATGGGGCCTAGTACAAGGGTTTGCAGCTCCCCAACAGCGTGAAAAAGAACGTTATGTTTCTTAGGTGGTCCTGGAGAAACAGAGTGGATATAGATGTAAGTCTAGTGTCTTACACAAAATTGAAACTGCAGGGATGAGTCATTTCCACACAGGGGCCCCGTGGTGTGTATTGCGCCAATCCCCCAAAGTTCCCACACTTGGGCACACACATAAGGGCATATCCCATAAGGGCTCGGGGGCAGGTTCAAGACAGCGAGAGCAAGACTGAGCCAAGTTTGGAAGCATGCATGTGCCACCCATTGTAACTCCAGACGCAAGAGGAAATGTCAATTTGGCAGGGCCCTCAAGAGCGCAAAGGGGTGTGCGTCTCCTGAGGGGGGGGAGGGGGGTGCTCTGCGAACCAACCGAAGAGGCAAGCGCATCAGAGAAGGCACCCAAGGACCGCAAGCAGGAGGGCAGTGCGAGGCTGAGCAATGCCAAGGGCAGAGAGGCAAACGGTGCAAGTGGCAGCATGCAAAGACCTCTCCAGCTTGCGCCAGGTGTGCAGGGCGAGGGTAGGTGGGGGGAGGAAGCTCTCCCTCACCCTAGCAAGCAAGCCTGCCCCACATAAATTATTAGCCCCCCACCCCCCAAAAAAGCAGAAGTGTGAGCCACTGTGAGAAGGTACAACAACTCTTGGAAAAGATGGGGAGGGAAAGGAGGTGCAGAAGAGGTGTGCGCTCCACACCTGCCCCGGTCACTGTGCAGAAATTGGGGAGGGGGTGCTGTTTAAACTGCGCGTGCGCAGCCCTGTCTCTTTCGCCACCGCCACCACTAGCCCCTGGGTCGATGGGAGCCCCCCGAGAAAGTAAGAAGCGGCAGTTAAGTGACCGTTAATTGTTTACCTCAGGCGCGCGCTCCGCCGCCGCTGCTGCTGCTCTCGGAACGTTCCGAAGGGTCCGTCGCGTCGCGCGCTTGCGTGCGCTGCCGCCTCGGCCGCCGCTGTTATGATCGCCGCTGCGGTGGCGCCGGCGGCAGCTTGCAGGCAGCTCTAGCTCCCTGCCCGCGCGCGCAGCTCCAGTGCCGCTATCTCAGATGCCGGCTCGGAGGAGGAGGCGGGCAGCGGGCGGGCGGGGGCGGGGAGGTGGGGTTGGCGAAGCGCGTAACTCTCCTCGCTTGTCCTCATCCTCCCCAGTGCCCCTCCTCCTCGTCCGTGCAGTTGATTTTCCGCGCGTGCGCAGGAGCGAGCAGCGGCTGCTGTTGCTGGGCTTTCATCTTCTCCTCAGAAGAACCGGGGGCGGGAGGGAGGCGGGGAGAGAAATAATAAAAATTATGATAAAAAAATAAATAATGTTTTGTATGGCTGGCCCTGTGCAGTGTGGCTTCAGGGCAAGACTGCACCTTTATACACACACACACACACACACACACACACACACACACAAAAACCCAACACTATATCTATATATCTATATATCTATATATCTATATATATATACACACACACACACACACACAGTGGTACCTCGGGTTACAGACGCTTCAGGTTACAGACTCCACTAACCCAGAAATAGTACCTCGGGTTAAGAACTTTGCTTCAGGATGAGAAGAGACATTGTGCAGCAGAGGCACGGCGGCAGCAGGAGGCCCCATTAGCTAAAGTGGTGCTTCAGGTTAAGAACAGTTTCAGGTTATGAACGGACCTCCAGAACGAATTAAGCTCTTAACCTGAGGTACCACTGTATCTCCACATGTGAAATATAAGGCTTGTGGCACCTTTAGAGGCAAGTGGCGTATTTTATTTGTGCCATAAGCTTTCATGGACTGCTGCAGTTGTGTGAATTTGAGGAAGTGGGCTGCACACCACAAAAGCTTTATGCTGTAAAATATTCTTTTTTGCTGTCTGTTGTTAAGATGCCGCAAGGCACTTTCCAGTTTTCATTTAATTAATATTTATTGCACCTTTTTCCTTTCCCAAGGATCTCCAGGCGGTGTACCTGGTTCTTCCCTCCCACCTCATGTAATCCCAAACAACCCTGTGAGGATACTGTAGATTGCTACTGCAAATACAGTTGATGGTTGGCTTGTTTTTTGCTTAGTACAGCTACCCACGCTGGAAAATGTAAAATATGAGCGCCAGTACCCATAAAACTGATAATCTGCATTGTCCTATTGCCTTGTCAGAAGTTCAAGCATATCCAGTTGTTGACCTGTATAGGATTTCCTTGCTATATTGAAAGTATAAGTGGGGAGAGGGAGGGCAATATTTCATAGGAGGGATATGAGAAGCTGGCAGGGGAGAAAATTAAGCATAGCCACCAACCTGGATGGCTTTAAAAGTGGTTTAGCCATCAGCTAGCAGTTAGGGATATGTTCTGCTTTCATTGCCAGAGGCAGTTTCCCTCTGAATGCCACTTGAAAGGAAATTAAGAAGTAGAAGGGTGTGGCGTGCTTATATGTGCTCCACCGACACACATGTGGGGACCAGGAACCCCTGCATGAAATGGTATTAGATATCAAAGTTAAATGTTCTGAACACAGAATGACCACAACTTGTATAAAAAATGTATCTGGAATAGACACAGAGCAGGGCTTTTATGTCAGTGATGCAGCTCAAGCCCTGAAACCTCTTAAATAACAAACTGACTATTTGAGTTATCTTTAATGCTCATTTATACTACCTTTTCTCCAAGGAGCACAAAGCAGCACAGTTCTCCCCTCCATTTTATCCTCACAACTACTCTGTGAGCTGGGTTAGGCTGAGAGTGGTCCAAACTTACTTTGTGGGCATTAAGACTGGCTGGGGATTTGAGCCTGGGTCCTGCCCAGTGGAGTCCTATGCTCCCCGAACCACTGCACCACATTGGCTCGGAGTATAACCCTAACTGGGTGTTAGGGGAAACATGGAGAGGGATTCTGCGTTTTGGACATAGTCACATGGGCCTAAGGAATATTCCTGACAACGGTGGTTCCCACCCTGCAGCAAAGTCAGTCATGTGCATTCTGCTTCTTGCACATCCCAAGCTCACGCTATGCATGCTTGAGGTCACAAAATTATTTCCATTTACACACCCTTGCCAGCAAAATGGCTGAATCAGCCTGAACAGCACAAGAGAACTGCGAGGCTGGGGGCTGATCTGGAAATTGTTAACTCGATATGCACAGCCTCCATTCAGCCCTTCTGCTTTTTGAGAACAAACAACAGAAGGCTTTCCATTTACAGCTTTTTGATTGGTTTCCCCTACTTCTGCTGTGGTTTCAGTGGCAGGATGTGAGCGAGCAAGAGGCATTTAAAAGAGCTGCCCTTGGGCTCTGACCAGCTGTAAACATCTCGGCTTTGAGACGGGAGATGGAGTGAGGTAACACAATGGCAGAGCATAAAATTTATAATGAGGGAGAAATCTTAATATTCCCCCTCTGAATTCCTGCTTACATGTTTGCTAACTAGGAGCAGAAAATGCGTCTCAGTGGGAACATGTGGCTAACTGTCTCCCCAAAGCACAGGGCCTAAGCCTAGGTGATTTTCTTCCTGAGGCTTCGTAGCAAATGGTGTTCCCAATGTTAAAATGCATAATAAGACAAGTGAAGTTATTTTGGCACCTGGCACAGAAAATCCCATAGGTACCCCTTCCCTTCCCGCAAAAAATGCAGTAATAATAAACAATTTTCTGCCCTTTCATGACACCCCAAATTGGCAGCTGCCAAGACTTGCCCTACCAAAGCACCGTTGGTGTTCAACATTTGGCAGCTTCTATAGGTCACTATACTATAGGGGGACGTGGTGGCGCTGTGGGTAAAACCTCAGCGCCTAGGACTTGCCGATCGTCAGGTCGGCGGTTCGAATCCCCGTGGCGGGGTGCGCTCCTGCTGCTCGGTCCCAGCGCCTGCCAACCTAGCAGTTCAAAAGCACCCCCGGGTGCAAGTAGATAAATAGGGACCGCTTACTAGTGGGAAGGTAAACGGCGTTTCCGTGTGCTGTGCTGGCTCGCCAGATGCAGCTTGTCACACTGGCCACGTGACCCGGAAGTGTCTGCAGACAGCGCTGGCTCCCGGCCTCTAGAGTGAGATGAGCGCACAACCCTAGAGTCTGGCAAGACTGGCCCGTACGGGCAGGGGTACCTTTACCTTTTTATAGGTCACTGAATGATGTCACATTACAAATTAAGGTACATTGGGATTAAGAAAAAGGCACTACTCCATTTTTCTTAGGACAAAACCACAAAACCATGACCAAAAGGGCTAGCATGGCTGAAAGGACGGTGATGAGAAAGGGACACTGTGTATTTGTATGTAAACCAGGAGTGGCTAATCTGTGCCCATACAGAGGATGGTAGACTGCAACTCCAGTCATTCCTGACTATTGGCTATGCTGGCTGGAGGTGAAGAAAAATGAGCCTAACATTTGGAGGACCACAAATTCCCCCAAGCTATGTCCAAGACACATAGCAAACAACGAGGGAGAGGAGCTCATCAAAACTACTCACAGAATATTTTTTCCAGCATCCCACTCTCAGGCAATATTACTTATTATTAAATTTACATCCCACCCTTCCTTCCAAAAGGAGCCCAGGGCAGCAAACATATCAGTGCAATGAAAACATCTAAAAATCATAGAGTTGGACCCACTTTGGAAGAATGGCAGATGAAAGTGATGGACTATATGACATTGGCTGAGATGACAGGCAGAATCCGTGACCAACGAAAAGAGACGGTGGAAGAAGAATGGAGGAAATTTAAAAGTTATCTTAAGGACTACTATAAACTTAATGAATGCTAAAATGTTGCGGTTTTCAGAAATAAAGGGATACAGGGATATAAGGTTAGAAATTTAAAAAAAAGAACTAAGAAGATAGAGATTGGAAAACAACAATTGGGAGTTGCTAGTGGAACTTTGGACACTGGGATGCAGAGAGGGGGGGTATGGGGAAGTCAAAGGAAAGAAGTCTATGAAAATATGTTTGAAACTATACGTGTATGTTTGTCATTTTTGGTGTTTGTTTGTTTTTTGTTTAAAAAGTTTCTAAAACCAATAAAAATTTTATAAAAAAAAAAAAAATCATAGAGTTGGAAGGGATGCAATGCAGGAAACCTGACCCAGGCTATATGGGTTGAACCACCAACCCATATAGCTGCATACTGGGAGAAGTCTACAGACTGCCACCAAGCTTATGCTGACAATAAAATATCCTTCTGCAAGAGTTAGTTGATATTATTTTTAAATTGTATGGTTTTATGTAAAGGATTGTTGTAAACTACCCTGATCTTTTAAATGAACAGTATATGTAAATATTTTTATAAATCAATCTACTTAAAAGGCTTCTTCGAAGAGGAACCATAGAATCACGAGAGCTGGAAGGGACCACGAGGATCATCTAGTCCAACTCCCTACAATGCAGGAATCTTTCACGCAACATGAGTCTCGAACCTACAATCCTGAGATTAATAAGCCTCATGCTCTACCAATTGAGTTATCCCTCAGGTAGTCTTCAGTAATGCCAAATCGACAATAAGATGGTGCCAGTTTAATATTTAACAGGAGGTAATTCCAAGGAAGGGACGCGGGTGGCGCTGTGGGTAAAACCTCAGCGCCTAGGACTTGCCGATCGTCAGGTCAGCGGTTCGAATCCCCGCGGTGGGGTGCGCTCCCGTTGCTCGGTCCCAGCGCCTGCCAACCTAGCAGTTCGAAAGCACCCCCGGGTGCAAGTAGATAAATAGGGACTGCTTACTAGCGGGAAGGTAAACGGCGTTTCCGTGTGCTGCGCTGGCTCGCCAGATGCAGCTTGTCACACTGGCCATGTGACCCGGAAGTGTCTGCGGACAGTGCTGGCTCCCGGCCTGTAGAGTGAGATGAGCGCACAACCCTAGAGTCTGTCAAGACTGGCCCATACGGGCAGGGGTACCTTTACCTTTTTAATTCCAAGGAGTAGGTTCCTCCACTAAAGGCCCTATTCCTACATCATATTGAACGAACCCCTGGATGCTATTTGCAGGAAGCTGTCTCCTGCAGAGTGCAGCAATCAGTTGGGTATATAAGGTATAAGAATATTGTAGAGAAAAATAAGGTACCTTTGTTCATATGTGGTGGTCCTGTAAGATTGCGAAAGTCTTATGGGAAACAATCCATAATGAATTTGGGGGGGGGGTGGAATGTTGAAAATAATCTGTTAAAAAACCAGCAGCGTTTCTTCTTAGTATACTTGGAGAAGAGGTGCCAAAAGACCACAAAAAAATCTATTTTTGTATGCAACCACGGTTGCCCAATGATATATGCCCAAAATTGGAAAGAGGAACTGGCCCCCGAAAGAGATGATTGGCAATTAAAATGGATGGAATATGCAAAGATGGCGAAACTTGCCGGAAGATTAAGAGATCTAGTAATACTTTTTGTAACAGAATGGGGGGAGGGGATTTATTGAATATATGAAAACAAATTGTAAACAACTAAAAACATTAGCCCGATTAATATAAACACAAGCAGTAAGAAATTTAAAGGAATTATAAAGGATAAATTTGTAAAAAGGTTATTTAGATATACAGTAAGAAAATGACAGAAAAATAAAAATCTGCATAAGGGGAGGAAGGGAAGTTGCAGAAAATTTTATTTGTGTAGATTTATATTCATTGTTGAATGCTGTAAAATCAGAAAATAAAATAGGGGTTTTTTCCCCAAGCAATCAATGAGAGTAAATGCAAAAAAGGGAAAAATGATTAAGATTATTATTTTAAACACCCTGGTCTGAAGCTGTTTGGGCTTTGGATACCAGCACCATGAATTTAGCCTGGTTGCTAATAAGCAACCAATTCTTGTTTACTTTACAACTGGTGAATAAACACCCACTACTGTATCGTTGCCAGACTGAAGATTGGTTACAGCAGCAGCCATAGAAATAGGTGGTAAAAAAATAAGAAATGGGTCCCAAAATGCATGATTGGATTAAAGGTGAGCGTGGGTCTGGAAAAGTTGAAGCCTGCTGTCTTAGGAACTAACCCAGTCATCACAATCACTATAGGCAAGCGGTTCTGAGACCTCCTGATTAAAATGATGCCATCTGAGACATCCTTGACCAGATGCTCTGACCCTAACAATTCCCTTTCTGCAAATGTTCCTTTCCTAAGACTTTTTTGTTCAACAAGAATTCCTATCCTCCGATTAGAAGGCGGTGTCTAATGGTACACAGGGAGCTAGGAGACTGACTCTCCTTGCTGGATTCCCCACTGTGACTGATAAATGAAACACAATAGCTTACAGCCAGCCTGTAACTCAATGTTGCCTAGCAGCTATGTAAGTGACCTGCCAGGTGATTCATAACCTATTTGCAATCCCAGGCAGACAGCAAACTGGGCTTAGGCCCTTGACAGACATAGGTTGTTGAGAGCTATTAGGCCCAGTTATGTTGCCAGCCATGCAAACCACTCAGTAAAGAGGCTGGTATTGTCAATCTGTAGGAATTGATGTTGTCTTTCTTCTCTGTCAGGCAAATAAGCTTGTATTTGATCTTTCAAATTTGAGCCATCGCTTTCCTCCACAGAATACCAATGCTAATCAGTATCGGTTACATACTGCCTCCCAGAGGGAAGTGGAGAGCAACAACTTGCTTAAAAGCACTACCGAAAAAAAAAGGAGAGTAAGGTACAGAAGGCGTGACAGAACACACACACAAAAACCCATCCATCTTGTTCTGGGGTCAATTTCATTGCGTGCTTCATTTCTTCTGACTTCATTTGTGGAGGCAAAAAAGTCTGTCATGCACACATCTAGTACATCCATCACCAGCCTAACACCCTGAGGGTATTTTGGACTACAACTCCCATCAGCCTCAGGTAGCATATTGGAGCTGCAGGCCAAAAACATCTGGATGGTGCCAGGTTGGCAAATATTGCCCTAATACAGGCATGTCCAAAGTCTGTTTTGGGGGCCTAATCTGATTTAATCCAGCCCCTGAGGCAGTATATGTCCTGGGGTAAAATCCTAAGAAAAAGACCAGCAACTCCAATCCTAGAAAGCTCAAAAACTGTGGGGTAGTAACAACTTTGGTCAGCCCACACATGTTCTGGCCCTCTTTGAAAAAAGTTTGGGCACCCCTGCTCTAATATCCTATACTGAACTTCTGTGATGGATTTGAATTGTTTGTGAGGCAGTATCCGTTTGCTCCTTCTCCAAGCAAACTCAGCTAGTGAGTGCTGCCAGGACTGTAATCAAAGCAATGTTAATGAGAAACAAGACAGAGCTATTGGCATGGGTCAGAGAACCCAGATGTTTGCAGAAGCACATTTTGTTTTAAACAAACTAAGGGGGTGGGGAATCTTCTCCAAAAGAGCCCAATGAGGAGCACTGGCTATAGAAAGGAGATTGGAAAAGTGGAAGAGGGAACAGAAAGAGGAGTGGAATGCCTTCCTAGGAGAGACCTTGAACATGAGCACTCCTCTTGGGACACTTGGAGCACTAGTTTCCCCACTTCTGAGATATACAAGTGCTTCTTCCCTTTTCAGATGAGAAGCCCCCTCTGCTTTGTGATTCACTACACAACATGACCCCCCCCCCCAATATCAGATGCTTTGCTAGAACCAAATCATTCCAGGTTTCCTACTCAGACAACACCACCAGCATTCTTATGTTAAAGGAATAAAATGAAATATTTCATTTGCTTTATTTCCAGAATCAAGGGGACAAGCAGGTGCAACTGAAGGAATTCAAGCTCATTTGAAGATTGCAGGAGTTTCCTCGCACATCATTAGTGGCTCTCTAGAAGTCCGAGTGATAAAGTGGAATGAAGAAATGCAGATCTGGTACTTTTGTTTTCTGTGTCGACATCTTCGAGGCTGCTTTGGAGCTGGAAGCTTGTCTCATCTCCATGGGCTTCAGAGGTCCCTACCAGAATGGCTGGCAAGCAGTTTACACAACGAGCCGAGGCTGCTGGGTCATCAAGACTCCAAAGCGTTTCTTGATGGTGATCCTGTGTCGGGAATATTTGTCATCTGGAGAAAAGCGGGCAGGATGGGCTGAACATGTTGGCTGGCCAGTGGGATCCACCTTCTGCAAAGCAGGGAAGAGAAGGCACAGCAATTTGTGAGCATACAAAATCTTGGTTTTAAATATTATATGTGTGTGTGTGTGTGTGTGTGTGTGTGTGTAAACATTGTTAGCTGACATTAAGAACAACAACAATATCCCACCAACCTTGGCTTAAATGTGTACGTTAATATTGGCAGTCTATATGTGAGCAACTACAATCCTAGCAAGACCAAACCAGCCCTAAAAGCTACACATTCCATCTTAAAATCACTTTTATTTTCTTCATGTCCAACCTTTCTTCCAAGGTACTGAAAAGGACATACATGCTTCTCCTCTTCCCAATCTGAGCCTCGCAACTCTCCCAGAGTGCCTTTCATGAAATCAAAACAAGGCATTCCCTACCCACGTGCTTATATTCTAATAAACAAACAAGTCAATAAAAATACAATTTTTCATGATCGCGAGAACTCACACATGTCTCTTTTCTTAAGATTTCAACAGACCACTTAGAACCTGTACTGTACAATCTTTTTCCTCCTACACCCCTCCCCAATCCATTCACGAGGACCAAAAACAAGTATTTAATTAACTTTGGTGGGGGGGGGGGAATACACAAACGAAAGCCATGCAATTACTACAATGTTAAATTATGACCAGAGCATCAAAGCAGCATGCAGATTTTGCACAGATAATTCCACATTTAAACCAATGACGATCTTTAAAAGAAACAATAGGGAAAGAAGATTAATTGCAGTTAGATATGGGTGGCTAGGGCAACCCAGCCGTATGGGTGGGGTATAAATAATCAAATTATTATTATTAGTGTATTAGTATTAGCTGGAACATAACAATAATTAATATGCATAGCATCTGGATTTGGGGGGCATCAGGAAGGAGAAAGGGACTAAGAATTGGGGGGGGGGCGGAAACAAACGCCATTAAAGTAAAATCCTTACCTTGAGAGTGTAGACCCTATTTCCTTGCTCGTCGAGGTAGTACTGCAGAAACATTGCTGCGGGTTATGAAAGCGTTAGCAATATACCTGCAGACGGATTAAAAGAGCTTCCTCCTACCAATATACACGCGCTTCCATACAACCCACGTGCACATTAGCCCCACCCACTTCCTCTCCAGCAGGATGTTTTAATCCGCTAATGAACGAGCTCGTAAAGAAACCGAGCATTCTGGGAGTTGTAGTCTTTCGGCTTCAGAATTCCCGATTCTCATACTGTACAGTACTCCGCTCCAGGAGTCATTGTTGGTTCAATGCATTCTGGGAATTGTAGTCTATCTGCTCTAGCCACACACACTAGACTCAAATCTGGAATTATATTGTACAGTTGGAAGGGACTCCCGGGGTCATCTAGTCCAACCCCCAGCAATGCAGGAATCTCAGTGGAAGCAACCATGGCAGATGGCCATCTAACCTCTGTTTAAAAACCTCCAAGGAAGGAGAGCCCACATCCTCTCGAGGGAGACCGCTGCACTGTGAAACAACTCATACTGTCATAAAGTTTTCTCCTAAGGTTTAGTTGGAGGTTCCTTCCTTGTCATTTGAATCCATTGGTTCCAGTCCTACCCTCCAGAGCAGGAGAAGACAAGCTTGCTCCATCTTCCATGTGCCAGCCCTTTAGATATTTGAAGATAGCTATCCTTTCTCCACTCAGTCTCCTCTTTTCCAGGCTAGACATACCCAGAGTTCCCTATTGAAAGTCTGCATCTTTCTCTACTGAAAGCACTTCTACAAATAATGTGTTGACCTGTACCTCTGCAAAAGGGGGTGGGCAGGTGGGTACATGTGCTTGGGGGATAGGGGTGGGGCAGGTACCCAGAGGGCCCTGCCAGAGGCCGGCCGGACTTAACACTGTCATGCCAAAAAAGCTCTGTGTCTCCCAGCTGACTGGGGACTCCTGCCCAGGGCCTCAGACAAGCTCTGCATGGACTTCTTCAGGCTCAGGGCCACATTAATTTGTGGGCAGCCTTCCAGGGGGCATATGCCATCAGTGGTCAGGGCACGAGTCAAAAGTGTGCAGAATAGTAAATGTAAGGTTTGCAAATTTAAAGTAGATTTATTTTTGTACCCTGTTCTATCCTCCCTCCAGGTATCGTCAGAGTTCATGGACACATACCTGCCAGGTGAAATCACAAAGAGGGTGTTAAGCGAGGACAGGTGTGGCCTACTGAGACAAGGAGCGCCTTGGGAGCATTCACCCTGATCGGTTTGCAAGGAGGTTAGATCACGTTGCTTCAAGCAATTGCTGTTCCCAACCTTTCCTCTGCATTTCCCTGTCATGACAAACAAACACCTCGAAGGGCCCAAAGGCAAGCCGAGTAGCCTGATTCTAAGTGGTCAAGAGGCAGGCACAGAATCCCAGCAGGAGAGGGCAAAGGAGGAGTTTCTGAAGTGCTGGGATCTTAGGGCCCATGTTGGGCAACAGATTCCTTCATTACAGGGGGTTGGACTAGATGGCCCTCGTGGTCACTTTCAACTCTACGTTTCTTTGATTCAAACCAGATGTTAAGCATGGGGTATAAGCGGGAGCCCATGGATGGCCAAACAAAGGTTTAAGTGCAGAGGAGAGGACAAGAGATAGGCCTAGTTGTGGGAATGGCTGTATGTCAATGGGGTTCTAATAAGCCTCAGAGCCAAGCCATATAGAATAGTTAAACCAAAGAATTAAGAGGGGAGATAAAACAGGAGGCGATAATTTAAGAAGGCCTATCAAGCTCTCATTTGTGGATTTCGAGGCTGGTGGCATCTGTTTGCTGCTGATACCTGCCTGGGCTTCTCTTTTACATCTTAGTCAGGTGTGGCTGTGCCAGGTGTGGCTGTGCAATTCTTGCATCGTTGCCTGGATGCAGTTCAGGGTAAATAACCTGAAACTGAATCCCAGCAAAATGGAAGTCCTATGGGCAGGTAGTTCACATGTCTGGGAATGGGAAAGATCTTCCAGAACTGGACAAGGTTGCACTCCTTCAAAAGGAGAAGGTGTAGTCTGGGAGTACTCTTTCATCCATCTTTATTGCTGGAGGCACAAGAGGTCACAGTGTCTAGGAGGGCCTCCAGACCTAGATAAGGATAGCCTAGACAAGGATAGCCTTGTCATTGTGACTCATGTGTTGGTAATGTCAAGGCTGGACTGTGGTAACATGCTCTGTGTAAGGCTGCCCTGAAGGCTAATTCAAGAAGTGCAGGATGCAGCATCTAGGTTGAAGAATGGGGCATCCTATAACACCGACTTTACTCCAGTCTTAAAGCAGCTGCACTGGCCAATAATAATATGCTGCTGAGCAGGTTTAAGGTTTTAGCATTGACTTAAGAATATCCTCCCAAATGTTGGACCAGGCTGTTTGTCCACATTAGCCTACCCGATCACGAAGCTCATTAGGGGAGGGCCTCCTGGTTGTGCCGTAAACTGCAAAGATTTTTACTGGGGCAACCGGGAAGACAGCCTTTTCAGTTGTGACACCCACTCTATGGGTCAATTCAAAGGGTTTGCTCTGGAAAGAACTTGGTTGGATACAATTCGTGGTTTGCAGAAAAAAAGCAGAAACACACACACACACACACACACACACACACACACTGCCCAGGTGAAACTTCTGTCAAATCATCACACCTGAGAGAGAATTCTTCTGGTCTCTTCCAACTCCCCAGTTCTATGATTCTCAGATTCTCAGTACCTTCTCAAAACTTTTATTTCCCAAAGTTCCACAGGGGAAGCCATGGCAGTTAAACAGTTTCAAACTGGTCAAGATTTGTTGCTTGTTGCCCTCAAGTGGCATAACCTTGTGCTTGCATCTGCTGCCCGATGTCAGAGCAGACACAAAACAAGTCAACAGGCACCTCACAAACAACTACTGTATTGCTATTTTAATTTGGGCTGGATTTGGGCAGGTAGCACCTCTTGCATCATTTCTGGGGACGTGGGTTGGGAGAGGTGTGTATCTTTGGTGTGGACCAATGCTGGTCAGATTCCCCCTGTCACTTTTTCATTTTCAAATGTCTATAGACAGAGGTAGGATGAGCAATTGATAATCAGGAAAAATCATGCCCAATCTTTGCAACAACAACAACAACATTTTTATTTATAATAATAGGTCGGGTTGGAGAAGTGTTTTGCAGCATGGAGGTTGTCACCTGTTTGTTATCTCTGCAGATCCTGCTGTTGTTAAAGACCCAGGAGCAGGAGCCAATAGAAAGGTTGACAGCCCACGTTGGAGGTAATGCTGAGATCGAGTGGAACACCTGCTCCTTGTGGAATCCATTAACAGCCCTTGCACATGAGGATACTCAGGAAACAGTATGAAGATGAAATCAGACGTAGCCTGCAGAATAGAGATCAGGCCTGCAGGTTAGAACTTTAACTTCCTCCCCCTTATTGGAACCCCCAAGGTGTCTAGGTTCTGGAATTGTTATCCTTCAACCTTCGCACCTAGAGTTGAGTCAACAATGATGGATCTTCTTGGAAACCAAATGGCATCATTGTGAACTTCCCAGAAGGACCTGTATCCGATTCGTTTCCGCCAACGATCCCACAACAGGACTTCACGGAGCAAACACAGACAGGGCCCCAGTTCCTTTGAACAGCTCTCTTTGCTCCATATTCCTTCTCCCATAGGGCCATGGCCTCTCAGGCCCACACCCCGGGCCCTGCCCCACCTTCCTGCCCACCCAGTGCCCCCTCACTGCTCCTGCCCGCCTTCCCTGGGACGGCTCTCCTCGTGACCTCAGCCGATGCCCCGGGGAGCAAGCTGATCATCAAGTTAAAAAGAGAAGGCCCCATGATGGGGGGCGCCGAGGAAATACCCCGGACCCAGACTTTCTTTGTGACAGGGATGCCACTGGGCTGGGCCACCCAGCGTCGGGATGGGCCAGCAGGCCCCGGCATCCGCACAGTGTTGCTGGCCAAAGCTGGAGAGGAGCCAGGTGCTAGGAAACAGAGAGTGCCAGAGGTCATGCCATCTGCCCGAGCGCCCCCTCCCAGTGATGCCTCCTTTGCCTGTACCTCCAAGGGGGTTTATGAGAATTATCGGCGCTGGCAACGCTACAAGGCCTTGGCCAGGCGCCATTTCCCTGCCACGCCTGATGCCGAAGCTCTCGCCTGTTTTTTCATGTGAGGGTCTTGGTGGCAAGGATCATTTGGTTTGGGAGACAAGGGTGACCTGGAGTGGGGATAGTAAGCAGATAACAAACTGTGAGGATTGGCAGGGGGATTGGTCAGCCTTGGGTTACTATTGATTGTGACAGCAAAAGCATTGGTACTGAGATGTGGGATCCCACTGTTTTCTAAAGGCACTGAATCCAACAAACACAGAATGGTTGAAGTTAGAGGGAAGGCCTTGAGTCATGAGCAAAAAAAGTTTGGTGGCAGAACTCTCCACGCAAAATAAGGATTTGGGAGTTCTGAATGTTTCTCTTTATGAACCCTGAAGCCCTGGTTGAAAACTGAACACTAATCCTAACTTTGCCAACCCAAGACCTCATGGCAATTCCCATTTTATACCCTGGGGAAATTGTTGAAGTGCGGTATCAACTCACACAGCCATCATCCTAAGGGCTAGTTTTTCCTGTTTATCAGCAGAATCAAGAAGGAACCCCCCACCTGACCACACTGCACTTGAATATGCATGCACATTCCCCTGTGAAAAATACATTTCAATTAGAGTAGACATGCAATCCAGGACCCGGAACCTGAAGTGGTACAATTAAAACCAGGGGGTGGGGTGAGGTAGCTTTAGCACTTAATTCTGCTCATTTCATAAGCTGAAAAGTATTGACAAATTGCAATCAGGGGTTGCTACAACTGCTCAAAGTTCCTCCGCGGCAGAAAGGTTGCTTTCCAAAGTATTCAAACCCATGTACAAGTGTAACAACAACAACACTCCTTGGCACCTATTTGAAGGTCTCCTCCTCGTCTTCTTTTAACCGCTAGGCTATACCGCCTATACTGTCAAGGGAGGTTAAGGAGCTAAATTTGGGTTAGAGAAGGCTCCATAAATGTCATGATGGTCAAAGTTGTGGGTGGTTGTGGTGGTGAACGGCTATGAACTACACCCAAATGTGAAAGCACATTTAAAGCACATGGCTTCTCCCAAAGGAACTAGGGAACTGTAGTTTCTTAAGGGTGTGGGGAATTGTAGTACTGTGAGGGTTAAGCTACAGTTACCAGGATTCTTTGGAGAAAGTCATTGCTGGGAAGCAAAAGATATGGTAAATAAAAAGAAGAATTCACTATTCACTGGATGCCTAGATCCAGGTTTGGAGAAATTTAAAACCACAAAAGTGTGGAAATATTGCTTTAAAATATCCCCTTCTAAGTTGCTTCCAACATCCCCCTCTATTATAGAAAGAGACCACGTCTATGGTAAGTTTTTAAAAGTTTACTTATTCAAAGGTCAGATTCATGTGCTTTCCCATACAGCAGTAAGAAAACACAGGCTGTCAAACTTAGTTTCCAAAGTGGTGAATGATTCTAATTTATTTGCATAGAAACACAAAGATGGCTTGCTTGAGCCATGCGATCTGAGCTTGATAACCCTTCCCCAAGGTGAGGGGGAGTGACCTAGCTAAGCTTGACAGCACATCTTACTCTATGGTCTTAACCCCTTCATGAAAAGGACTTAAGCATGCTGGTTACATGAGGATGGTTATGCCACAGCCATGTGTGTTAAATGTGCTTTAGATTTTTGGTGTGGGTGTGACCATAGAGGCAAGGGTTGCTGTTCACATTTTAGAAGCTTTGCTCTCACTGATGTGACATCATCATCCTGCCCCTGCAGCCCCGTCCTCCGCTCACTGGCACGCCTGCGTCCCGACATGACCCTGGAGGATGGGGTTCCCCGTGCCGTGCAAGAATGGGAGCACAGCAGTAACTTTGAGCGCATGATCTTCTACGAAATGGCAGAAAAGTAAGAGTTCCCCACCCACATATGGGCTTATGGGTGGCTAGAGGGTGAAGAGGGTCCCTTCATTCTGACTTCGCCCTCCCTCCTCTGCCCTTCCCTTTCTCAGGTTCATGGAGTTCGAAGCAGAAGAGGAACAACAGATCCAGAAGATGAAGCTCTTGGCCAGTTGCTCTCAGTTCCAGGCCCCAGCTCCCAAACCCAACAAGCCACCTCCGTCCCCTGCCCCTGAGTCTGGGCAGCAGCAAGGTAGTGTCTTCCTCCCACAATCCTCTGCATTTTGAGCGAAACCCTTACCCATCTAGACCAACTGTTGGCCAACAGGGGTGGCTTCAAGGAACTAGTAGAGCAGTAGGAACTAGTAGGAACTAGAAGGCAGAGAATTCAACGGGAGGTGGAGGCAGAACCAAAGACAGGCAGAGCCAGCCAATTCTAGTGTCTTCCTCCCCACTTCCTCCTCCCTGCTGAATTCTACAAGGGACAACTCTAAGGCTAAGGAGAAGGAAGATGGCAGCTGGAGCCAGCCGCTAGATTGATTGTAAGTCAGAAGGCAGGCAGGTGAGGGCTGGCTGAAGGCAGACAGAGGTTGGTGGGGCAGTGCCCCGTTTTGACCTAATGGATCAGCACCCAAGGCCAATAGGAAGAGGACCTGATGGGGAACTCGTATGCAAATGGCTAATGAGCTCCTTTTCTTTCCTCCCCAAAATAATGATAATTAATTTATTTATAGCCCGCCCATCCCGCTGGGTTTCCCCGGCCACTCTATATTGCTTCCCTGTCTGGCATGTTTTCACCCCAGGTAGCCAGTATGCCTTTGATCATAAAACCCCACATGGAATTGACTTCCTGGTTCATTTTACACACCGTCTCCATGTGCTAATTCTTCCCTATGCCCGGGAGACGGTGTGGTGCTTATTTTAAAATTGCAACTCTGAGCCAATTTCTGCTACAAGAAAACCTGACTTTATGCAGATTTCAGTACATTTTATTTGTATGTGTGTGTGTGTGTGTGTATATATATATATACACCCCAACTTTTACACGGGAAGACACCCGAGGACACCAAAACCTGCATATATATATATATACGAAAGCAAATATATATATATATATATATATGCCGATTTAAATACATTTAACTCTGTTTGCTGTGCAATTGATTCCGGTTCCCCTAGTTATGGGATGGAGCTATGCAGCAGCCCTGAGCCCACTTAAATTCTTGCTTATGCTCCTCTCCCCATGAGCCTTGCCTTCTGAGACACCGTCTGGCATTGCCAACATATTTTTGAGCACTTCCTCTTAGCAACAAGATACCGAGAGCAGGGGTCACCAACCATTTTAGGCCTGTAAGGATATGCTGGGGGTACAATCTCCTCTCCCCATTCCAGACCTAGGCAGAGATCAGCTGCTGCAGGCCCTCTTGGCAGAGTGCTAGCTGTTTTCCCAGTTGCCAACCCAAAGGCAAAAAAGGGTGGGTGGGGAAAGCAGGGCCTGACGGCAGCCCATCTCCTCCCAAAAGTCGACTAAACTTGGACCCATCAGGAAATGGCTACACTCCTTTTGAACTACTGTGATAGGTCAGCAATGAGTTGCACACGCCATTCGAGTTCACCTAGCCCAGTGTCCTCATGTAGGATTGACTCCATGATCTCCCTGCTTCCCCCAAAGTCTACATCCCCAAGAAGTCAGCTTCCAAGAGCCGCCAGCCTCGGCGTCGCCAGCGGCGTCCGCCCAGCACTTCCACCCCAGGAGCGCCCAGGGAGATCCCTGCCGAGGCGGTGCACCAGTATGCTGAGATCATGGAAGGCCTGGACACGAGTTGGGAGGAGGAAGAGGACGAGAAGAAAGAACAAGGGGTGTGCAACAACCCCCAAGAGCAGGAAGAGGGGGCCTTCCCAGATCCTGCCCTGCTGCAGTATATTGATCAGTTATGTGATGATGAAGAATTTGTTTGTAAGGTAAACAACGGTGACGTTTGCTTCATGGGAATGGAGCAAATGTAAATCTTGCAGCCCTTCTCTCAGCCCCTCTCCAGGCTGTTGGTTTTTTTGCATGTATACTCTGCAACAAGTCACTAATGCAATAATAGTGCATTAATGGCAGATTGATACAGGACCGCCCACACATCATTCTGATTTATTAGTTGTTCTGCAATCCTTCCCCAGTGTTACTGCATTATTGCTGTCTAGAGGGGCACCACTTGCACTGTAGCGGAATGAAAGAAGGACAACAAACAAACCGGAATATTTGTAAAATGAAAAAGTTACAGGGTTTCAGGAGGGCCATGCACTGATAAAGGAGTATGTCCACCCAGAAACCTTTGTAAGTACAAACAACATTGATAGCGGAATCATGTATAAGTGCCTTGATACCGTCATGCAAATCATGAATGCAAAGAAAGGACGCCTGGAGGGGGCCATAATATGATCATCATCAGGGTAAATCCTACTAGATGTTAAAAAGGTGGCAGCCAAACACACAACAAACACATGGTTAGCATCCAGCACCAACTTTGACTTTTGTGTCTTGTAGCTATAACAGCACAAGCCCAGCTTTAATGCACTACTGAGTGTTGCTAAGCAATTATGCAGCTTTGTATTTTACTCCTCCCTTTATTACTAATTTCTATCATAAACAGATATTTGTAGTCCTCCTCCAGCCTGCTGCCCTCTAGAGATTCTTGGACTGCAGCTGCTATCATCTCCAACCATTGGCCATGCTGTCGGAGGCTGATGGACGTTGGAGTCCTACACATCTGGAGGGCACCAGGTTGGGGAAGGCTAGTCTCAATCCACACCCGTGCCTTGGACCACAGCACTCCATATGCTGAGTTTGTCTTCCTTATTCATCAAGCCACTTCCTTTCCCTGCTTCATGTCTCCACCACCTGAACCTGAGCTTAGCTCCACTAACCCTTCCCTTCTTAGAATTCAGTGGTCTCTACCCACCATTTTTTTGGTCTTACCCATCCATGGCAGGTTGGAAACTCCTCTGCTGACAAAGCCTCACTTCCCCAAAGCCTGCATCTTACTCCTCTCTCTGCCGAGTGATGTCAAGAGCCCATGGGGTCCCAGGCACACATAGAGGGTCTGTGTCCTTTTGGAGAATAGAAGACACAGTGGAGGCTGTTGTGCCTAAAGAAATATGATTTATTCACCTATTTACGCCTCCAGTCTGTGTGGAGGGAGCCCAGATCTTACTGCATAGACATTTCCATAGGCAGCAGTGCAGGGAACCTTCAGGGAACCTCTCTCCAAGATCGATCTCAGCCCCTTTCTCCCCTTCTTCCCATAAAACCCTTTGCCCTCCCCCAGAGTTACCCTGGCAGCCTCCCCAATACGTCTGTTCACACCTGGGGGGAAGAAGTTAATGGTCCTTTAGCTGTATCTCATCTCACAAGGTTGGTTTGCATAAGCCAGCCCAGGAATTCCCTGTCTGGCACAGCCCTGCAGTTTATGTTTTAATCCATTTCCCAATGAATCAAAATCCTAGCATTTCTTCATTCCTAGGTTTTAGGGGGATCTCTCCCCTAACCCAGTATTTTTAAATGAACAGTATTTTTAAATGAACGAGTTATTACATTATCTCTGGGGTGAAGATTGGGCAGGCAGACTTTTGCTCCTTTTCAGCCAGGCTCAATACTACAAGCCATGGTGCTTCCCCTTCCTCTCTCTGACAGGTTGAAGCTGTCATTCACCCACAGTTTATGGCTGACTTGCTGTCTCCAGAGAAAAGCCAGGATCCTCTAGATCTGATGGAAGAATTGGCGGAGGAGCTAAACTTAACACCCAACCAGGTAAAGCATGGAATGAGAATGGGGTGGGAATCGGGAGACGTGGGGAGTTTCAAGGCTGCAGCTTGAGCCTGCTCATGTGGCCAGTTCAGACCACGACAGCCGTGGTTATGTCAGCTTTGCCACTGTGCCTTCTAGCCACAGCAGCCTGCGGTTTGGAAGTCTTGTGCAGAGAGGTATGTGAAACCTGTGGAAAAGACAAAGAGGCCTCGTTTCTTGTTTCCATTTTAAAGCCGCTGTTTGGTCAGAGCGGCCATGGTGCAAATTGGAGGACTATCTCCTCCCCTTCACCACTGTCAAGACTGTCCCAACCATTTTGTATTGGTTACTACCCATACAACTGGAAACTGACCATAACACTGAATGAGGACATAGCATATTTCCCATCATGCATGAACTCCTATTTTTGCCACATCAGTGCCCATAAAGTGACATTGGCAATGGCCTTTGAAAGGCCAGACCAGAACTGATTCCCTCCAAAATAGGCACATCCTATCTCATGATGATGATGATGGTACTGTGCTCATCTGAGTGGCCCAGCCACTTTGGGTGGCTTTCAACATATTTAGATCATAATTAAACATTTAAAAACTTCCCTATAAAGGGAATACGTCTTCTATTGGCCTTCAATGAAAATGGGGACATCGTAAGGAAAAGTGGGACCTTCTGGGGTCAAATCAGAAACCAGGATGGCTTCTGTAAATCCAGGACTGTCCCTGGAAAATAGGGACACTTGGAGGGTCCAAACCTGCACATGGCTGTGGAGGCACAGAATTATCCCACTACAGGGCTGGGCTGAGAGGCAGTACTGGCAAGACTTTCCCCATAGCGACTCTGAATTGATCCTCTTTCCTTTCTGTCTACAGCTGACAGAGAAGAGACTCCTGGCGCTGTCGGAAGAAGAAAGGGAGCCCTCTGTCTACCCTACATCCCATTCTGACTCCACCCCCTCGCAGTCTGAGGAAGAGGACGAGGTCAGTGGTAATGGAAAAGGAGAAGATGCATCGTGCCATGCCCTGAAGAGGCCTTTGACCAGCAAAGTCATTAGAAGCAACCAGCCAGAATTGCCTATGCCAGCCACCAGTTCCCCAATGGCACATAATTCGCAGCAACGAGGCTTTCCACCAAAAGCAGAGAGTTCTCCTCCTCACAAATGTGGCACCCAGGACTCCCAGGAAGCAAGCCTGCTACTCTCCTTGAAGAGCACAGTTGAAGAGGAAACCCAGAACTCACAGGGACGAGGCCAGGTTCAAAGTCAGGGAAACTCTTCTCATAGCCAGTGGGCCACACTGGAAGCTACTCCTGGTATAACAGGAAATGTCAGCATTATTGGGAACTTAACGTCCGAAGGGGACAACAAGGCCAAGCAAGGTATTGCAAGGCCCCATGCCTTGGAACATTCAAAGCAAGATGGCGGCCAAGAAGGAAAGGTCAAGCAGCATGCTACAGGGCAAGGCAGCCTTGCTGTCAAAGGACAGTTCCATAATGGGATGGAGTTGGTTTGGAATAATCTAGAACCACCCCACAACAAATGTGAAAAACAAGATGGTATCCAACGAGGGGAGGTCAAGTGTCTAAAGAAGGCTCATGCTGTCTGGAAAATACAGGAAGATGATCCAAAAGGGACCGACCATGATCGTCAAGGCCTAAACAAAATGTTATTAGGAGATCGCATAGCAGCAGAAAGGACTCTTAGGATGACTTTGAATGGGCATGGGGGACAAAATGTTGACACTGCAGAAAAGGCCAGAGGTCAACTCCAAGTTCAAAGTAATAGGGGGCCAAAGGAAATCTCCAGTAGAAGAGAACTTGACTGTCAAGGTAATGAGATGACATCTCACCCAGACAACCAGATAAAACAGGAACTCCTGCAGGCTGAATGTGGAAAGCTAAATGGCTGTCAAGGAGAAGTAGCCAAAAATCAACTCCAGTCCCAAGGCATTTATAGAGGGGCAAAACCTACCTCTAATGTAACTGTAACTCAGTTAGGAGGCACCAAGCCATGTGGGAAAAGCTCAGCAGCGCAAGACAGTCTAGCATTGAGCCCCTCTGGACATGGGAATAATCTCAATAGCCAAGAAGCACAGGTCAAATCTCAGAAGAAGCCAGAGGCTAACTGGAAGCAAATGACAACGACATCAGTAAAGGACAATGGCTTAGTCAAAAGTGTACAGTTGCCTGCAGATAATATATCATTAGAAAAACAACCAATTTCCACCAGACAAGATGGCCAACAGTCCATTGACTCACCTGTGTTGGAAACAGATGAAGGAACTAGAAAGTCACATGTTGAACTCAACCAGGGAAACAGACAGAAGTTGACTTTATCCAATTCTAGTCGGATAGGGTTGCTTGAAGAGCATCCCACAGGCACAGATTCTGAGCATGTGCCATATTTCACCCTCTCATTACTAGAGCCTCAATCTCCAAGTATCCAGAAGTGCCCTGAGATATTCCAGAAGTCTCAGTGGCCACTCACAGATCAGTGCAAAGTCACGCCTTGGGTGGAAAACCTTCCAGATGACAAGCAGAACCCAGAGCCCACGCCAAACCCTTCAAGCTACGTTGCCACAGTGGAAGCTGATGGAGGCAGCTGCAGTCCAGCTGGAGCTCACACTCCTGTGGCTGCCAGTTCTGGGAAAGGGGGAGCAGCGTTTCCACTACAACAAGGTGGAGGAAGCAGTGGAGGCTGCCATGGAAATGATGAGCCCAGTCAGAGAGCTGAGTCTAGCGATCTGCTCCCTTCTAAAGCCCACAGGGGGCTCATCAGTTCAGAGAGTAACGCAAAGAACTCGAGTAAGGGGGAAGGGGGAGATTTGCTTGAGAGAGTCGCCGTGGCAAAAGGCCTGCTTCCAGAACTCCCCGGAGGAAGCGTGGAAGACATCCTTAAATATGGAGCTAAAGAAGACGACGAAGAGGAGGATGAGGAGCTATCTAGCTTCTCCTCCTTGCTTGCCTCCAAGCTCAGCCTCTCCCCTCACAGTGCCCTTGCGCCTCTCGCAAGGGAACAAGGGGACACCCTGCCCTCCTCACCCACGGATGCTGGGAAGCAAGGTGCTAAGACAAGGCACTCCACCAGGGCGCAGGTGCCCCAGAATTCCACCACCCCACCAAACAGGAGTCCAGAAGCCAACACAGCCGCTCAGCACAGTCACAAAAGAAAGAACAATGGCTCAGGCACACGGAGGAGCAAGCGCCTTCGCAACCAGTAGCAGCGCTCCTTTCTTTCAATGAAGGCTGACTCTAGCAAACCCTGGGAAAGTCTCTTAAAGTCCCCGTTCTGGCAGCTGCCACCTGTGCTGAGATTTCAGAGCCCCACCATTACTCAAAATATTACGGGTAACAGGGGAAAAGATTGCACCGAAATACCTTGACCGAGTCACAATCTGCCTAAATATGCTTCCCGTGGGACTTGACAGAGACCTCCTCCCTGCATTTGTTGAAATTTCTTAGCAAATTAAAAGAGATATTGAATCCAACTTGCTTGGCTGCAAGCCTGGCTCTGAAAGCTCCACCTTAGAGACTACCAGCCTGCCTAATATCGAACTCATGTTATCCTGTGCCGATCTGTTTGGGAATTGAAAAGGAAGGCAGTGCTTGTTTCTGCATACCTGTGCAAACATATACATTTGGTTTAAAAATAAAAATTAAATTAAATGGGGGGGTGTGTAATAAAACAGAAGAGTAACCCCAGCCTGAGACAGGTGATTTCCAAGCCTATAAAATTTTGAAATGGTCACTTTGGTTTAAAAACAACAGGGATAGGGATTTGCCTTCTTCAGCTGATAGCTGCTTCTTCTTTGGCAATCATTCGTAGCAGAGTAAGATTGTCTTCCATAAACACGGTTTTAACAATGAGTCCGTAAGTGACTGTGGAGGCCAATTCTGAGTCCACACGAGCATCCTGGAGGTGAGCATTAAGGTTGAGAAGGGAGGAGACATGAGCTTTTAAAAATTCCCCTATTTGAACTACACAGGCAGGCTTCAGGAAGCAAAGGGAAGAAAACATGATACTTGTGCCCTTTCTCACTGTCCTGAACCTCCTGGCTATATGACAGGTTCAGGGCTGGCAGCCAGTCCCAAATCTAACCCCCTTGTGCTGTATAGCACAAGGGTGGGAAAGAAATAAAGATCCAGTTCCCTTCCCCGTCTCTGAATAATGCTACAGTGCTCCAGTTTCAGGCTGGACAGAACTCTGGATAGAATCACTCTTGCTAAAAGGCTGGCGACACAGTGCAACCTTTTGCTCTCGTCTTACAGCCAAGTTGAATGCAACCTCGGCACGTAACATGCTTATCTAACTTGAGTTCAGCGGAGGCTGGTGGCCACTGGGGCTGGTAGGGCAGAAGGTAAGGAGACCCACAGGAGGTGGAACCAAACCCAACTGACAGGGCACAGCCGACTAATTCTAATCTTGTCCCCATCCTCCCTATTGATTTCTACAGAGGCAACACCGAGACTACAGCAGTAGCAGGCAGCAGGGTGGGATGTCACTGCTCACCAATGCTGCTTACTGGGATGTAAAGGAGGGCAGAAGGTTGGGGAGGTTGGTGCGGTGCAAACGTGCCAGCAGGAACCCAAGATTGGTTCTGCCAGCGTGTTTGCGCAGCGCTGTGTTTGCTAGTGCTGCCGTGCTGCCCTTCCTTCTCCTAGCATGCAGTAGCGATGCGACCAACCAGAGATCAGGTGAGCAGTGATGGTGTCCCATTATGCCAGCCGCTGGACAATGGTTGAGGCAATGACTGGCAGTGCCAACCCCTGGATTGGTTGTAAGTAAGAAGGCAGGCAGATGGGGGATGGCTGAAAGCACAGAGAGAGAGTTCTGGGCCAGTGTTCCACTTGCTCAAATGGACCAACTTCCAACGTTTGAACTAAAAACCTTAAAACCTTGAACTAAAAACCTTGAAACTCAAGGTGTGGCCTCCATCTTCCGCACCCACAGCCCATACTCCTTCCCCCAGTCTTCCAGAAGTTGTCTTAGCAAACAAACAAAATCAGGAACCACCTTTGTTTTAAAACTTAATACATATATCTTTTTTTTATTATAGAGATATAGATATTTATTTTATATATAAAATAGCACTTTTTATATTTTACAAAACAGAAAATAAAACGAAAAGCAACAGTATCTCACCCTTCCATCCTTCCCTTCCCATTGACAAACGAACAAAACAGAATATCAACAACGTAAGATAAAATGATATAATTAAAACATAACAAAAATAAAACTTTTAAAATAAACGGAGAGAAGCCCCAATCCCCAAAGAACTTGCGGCTGTGATTCCCCGGTTACGGTTGCCCTGAGATGGGGGTGTCTCCGCCCCCCTTTGCCTAACCACCGTGGCGGCAGAGAGCGAGCAAGCGAGCAGGAGGGGCGGGGTCTGCGTGGCCAAGGATGTGGCATGGCTGTGTGTGTGTGTGTGTGTTTCGTTGTATACACATGGCTAAAGAGTTTTCAGGGGGTTTTCAGTCTGCCTTGCTCTTGGGAGGGGAGGCAGGAACGCCGTTAGCATAGGTGGGCGGGAGGCCAGGCTTGGACAGAGTGCACGCCACAGGGGGGCGCAGGTACGTGCTGAAGAGGCGGGCATAGTCAGGGTGGCGGAGAGAGAAGTCTTGGAACTCATCTGGGTAAGAGAGAAAAAGGAAAGCAGGGTGAATATTTCACTTCATTGATTAGCTTTATATACCACCCTTCATCTAAAGATCTCGGCGTAGTTCACAAGATAAAAAGCACAAATAAGGAATATCAGTGTAAAAGTGGTGCATGGGTAGCCCTAGGAGAATCCCCTGGCATCAGAAGTTGCGTCAGTATGGACCAGGCTCTGACACCCTTTTGGGACCCATGGGCCCATTTGCAAACCTGAGAAACTCTTGTGGGCTCGCCTGCCTGGGCAATCTGACAAACATTGCAGCTAGTCTACTGCCTACTGCAGAATGCATCTTTCACAACAAATTTCAGCAGGGAGAGAGGAGATGATGCGTTGGGCGCCAGCGACAGATGCCATGTTGGACACCCCGGGGTTGACACCTCTTCCTGCAACTTTTATCAACCTCCTGACTTTTTGCCCCTTACCATAGCTGTCCCCAATCCTCTTCCATAATCATTTCCATAACCCTCAATCTCTCCATTTCTAGAGGGGCTTCCTCGTCATTTTCCCTAGCTGAGCTGACCAAAATCAACACATCACACTTCTCATTTCATTTCTACCCAATCAGCAACCTCTTTCCTTCCTGAATATATATTTAATGCACATGGCTTCCCCCAAAGACTCCTGGCAACTGTTGTTCACCTACTCAGAGAGTTGCAATTCCAAGCACCCTTAACAAACAAACCACAGTTCCCAGAATTCTTTAGGGGAAGCCATATGCTTAAAATATATGGTGTGGATGAGACCCTGGTCTGTACCCACTTCCTAGGAGTCTTCAAAACCCAACTCCCTTCTTCCTCAAAACTTGATGTTAACGTGCCCTTCATTTACTCGATATACAATGACACCTGTCACGCCTCCCCTTTCCTTTCCATGCCCCGCTTTTATGAGGGATCTCACCGAGGGTCAATCCATCTTGGCTGTGGTCCCCACAAAGTCGACTATAGAGTTCGGCCCCATCTGCACCTGGTGTGCCCAGCAGGAGGCGCAAAATGGCGCAGAATCCATCTTGGCAAAGCCGACTGTTCTCTGCCTCATCGTCTGTCTCCGTGAAGAGCTGGTGGTGTAGAGAGGGGTGTACATGTCAGCAACACAGATATGAACTCTGAATGCAGCATTGCATATAATGCCCTCTTTCCCACCACAGCAGAGGCTCCTCCCCTTTAAACCTTTGGTTTGGTCCACTTTGCCCCAATCCCCGCCCCTTTCGTTCTATAGCCCACCCAGACTGACACAGAGACACGCAGCCATGTCTTCCATCGCTCGGATTAAAGGTAAAGGTACCCCTAACCATTAGGTCCAGTCGTGGACGACTCTGGGGTTGCGGCGCTCATCTTGCTCTACAGGCCAAGGGAGCCGGCGTTTGTCCGCAGACAGCTTCCAGGTCATGTGGCCAGCATGACTAAGCCGCTTCTGGTGAAACCAGAGCAGCACACAGAAATGCCATTTACCTTCCCGCTGGAGTGGTACCTATTTATCTACTTGCACTTGACGTGCTTTTGAATTGCTAGGTTGGCAGAAGCTGCCCCACCGTTGCGGGGATTTGAACCGCCGACCTTCTGATCGGCAAGCCCTAGGCTCTGTGGTTTAGACCACAGCAGCACGCAGCCATGTCTTCCATCGCTCAGATTAACCCCTTTCTAAACTCACAATCCCACTTGTGCTTCACGTGGACAGAAGTCCTGTAGGGACCACCCTAGAACTCCCCTCCCTGGATGCTTCTCCGCAACCAAGATGCTGAGATGCATTTCCCCCCGCCACTAGGAGAAAAATGGCTGGGGGAGTGGAATGCAGGGGGGAAGCAGCAAGCCAGAAGGGCTAGGCATCACCCCATACCCTCTAGCCAGCGCAGTCCAACTCATTGTTTAGATGTTTAGTAGAGAATTGGGTTTCTCTGTCTCCATCGAATTACTAGCTTGACTTTCTCTCCATCAAACTCAACCACAGTGGTTACCTTAAAAGCACGAAACGTCAGTTCTTGTGGGTTGTGCTCTCCTTCCAATGCCTCCAGGGCTAGGGCCACTTCCCGGGAGTCCAGGTTGCCATCGGCATCCTGGGAAGAGATATAAGAAGGAGAGGACTAAATGCATTGCACACTGAGCCAGATGTTCTCCTGGCTCAACTTTAATCTCAAAAAGTAGCGACAAATTGGGCAGGGGGCTGGATTACCTTTTTTTGCGAAGCTGTTCACAGCCATAGCTCACCCCTGTTTTATTATTTCCCCCATTCTGTTTCCCATCAGATTTTGGCTATGTGCAGGCAAAACGGAGGGCAAGTTAGGCCTACATAGCTAAGACAATGGCGGCTTTTCCCATGCAGATCACAATGGCCAACCTTAGCCAATCAGGGAGGACATTAACAGTGATTTAGAATTTTTGCAGCCATTTTCACAAAGCATCTCCCCTTGTTTCAGGATATTCATTTAATACCACATCTTTCCATGTCCTTTCTATTTTGGAAAGGCAGTGTGGTGCGGTGGTTAGAGCGTTGGACTAGGATTCGTTTCTGCCTGGACGCTGAGGTCCAGCGCCGAGGCCTTCTGGCGGTTCCAACTCATTGCGAGAAGCAAAGCTACAGGGAACCAGGCAGAGGGCCTTCTCGGTAGTGGTGCCTGCCCTGTGGAATGCCCTCCCCTCAGATGTCAAAGCGATAAACAACTACAGTGGTTGCCTCGCAAGACGAAATTAATCCGTTCCGCAAGTCTCTTCGTCTAGGTTTTTTCATCTAGCGAAGCAACCCTATTAGCGGCTTAGCGCTTAGCGCTATTAGCGGTTTAGCGGCTATTAAAGGCTTAGCGGCTTTAGCGGCTAAAAGGCTATTAGCGGCTTAGCGCTTAGAAAAAAGGGGGGGAAGCGAAAAAAAAATTGCAAGACTCGCAAGACGTTTTCATCTTGCGAAGCAAGCCCATAGGGAAATTTGTCTTGCGAAGCAACTCAAAAACGGAAAACCCTTTCGTCTAGCGGGGCA